ATGCAGTTCAAATATTGTAGAAACGTCTCCCAGGGTAACAGCATGCAGGCCAGAGGCCCCGTCGCACGCTATAGGTAAAAGTTGTTCCAGAAGGACCAGAGCCTTATATATAACCTGTAGTGGACAAGCTAAAGGATCCGCTGTTTCTGTGTTATCCTGAGTGAAGCCCTTGTTATCAGAACCGGCTTTTTGCCTTTATTTGCCTACTAACACGGGACATAACAACTACAATCATCAGGTCGAGTCCCAAGTTATAAGTACAAGGCAGAAATCACCACAGCGAGGACTTTATTATGCGAAGAGCCCTATGTTTCTCTGTCAGGCAGCATTGGCCGCTGGCAAAACCAGCGCTGATATTGATCACGTCAAGTATGATGCGAGATTTTTAGTGAAGTGTGTGTGATAGAGATGTGTTGACATTTGTTTTTACATGATTGTGAAGAGAAGTTCAGGTAGGTTGCTAATAGTTTGTTAAATTGCCCGAGGGGATGTCGCCTGTAGAGGCCCCTGCTGCGTTGGCCAAAGGGGTGGCACGTTATGTGGCCCTTAATAAGCCGCGACTAGTTGGGCACGCGTGTGCTTGCGCTTGTGTGCTCGCGTGCATATGCGAGTGAATATCGGTCAAGCGTTTTAAGGTAAACCACCTGCTGAGATGGATGACGTTGGAGCCGGGGTTAGCATTTGTTAGCCGCCTGCCATACGCCTTTGTCTGATATTTGTAATGGCTGAATAGCGCGTACTGTGCCCCAATCTGCCACCCTTCAGCGTACCTCGCAGTAGGTAGGTCGGAAGAACACGAGACTGTCCCCCTAATCGATCTCTATAAAAAAAATCTCGCTGTTAAACCTTGTTGATTGGGTTTATAATTCAAACACAATACTGCTTGACAAACCGGTGAAATGTTTCAATGTATCTTTACCTCTCATATTTTCCAGATGGTTGCCACACTTATCGATGAAGATGACAACCCTCCGTTTTTCCAACTGGCTGAGTATAACTCGGACATTGTACGCGAGGATGTTGTCAACGATACCGCTGTCCTGGAAGGTAAGTGTTTATTGTAAGGACCGACACTTCGAGGTACAAAGCGTAACTCCTGAAAGCTACTTGTGGCATTAAATATATGCATGACTTTCGACCGCCGTTTTCGATTAGTTCCACAATTTTCTCCACGACAGAATGATGCAGGAACGGTGAATTTCGCTGGAGCTTGAATGAAGACAGACTTACTATGCATCTATCTCACTCACTTCCTCCCTACTCCCCCGACTGCACCCGGTGTCAAGACAGAGTAAAAATGACCGAGGATAGTTGAGGACGCAGGCATACGTACTGTGGGTATACACAGCCAGAAGATCACAGCAAGGTTGGGAGCGCCTCGCATTCCAGCTGAGTGGGTGTACCATAAAGGCCACAGTAAGAAGGATCCCTTGCAACCTGACACTCAGCCCGCCAGTCAGCCATTCCACAAATCAAGCACTAGGCTAACTACGCGGTCTGAGTTCTCCCGTCAATTGGCAATCTTCTAAGTCTGGCTGGCTAGTAGCCCTTGTTGTATCCGGAGCCCCGCCGGGTGGGCCTCAATCCCGGCGGCAAGGAGGAGGATTAGCAGCATAGTTGGGAGGGGCTGCTCCGTCATCAAAAACACAGATGGAGGGGAGTGGAGATAGATCCACCGTAGGGAGATTGGTGCAGCAGACCTTGGCCGCCGTAAGGGCGGGTGGAAACGCGACGGAGGCGCGTCTGCTGTGGTTTCCTAACCTTCTAAGTCATGACCTTTAGCGCACTGTGTAAGGTTCAAGTGCGTCAGGCCGTTAAGCTTCAATTTCATTTTATTTGCTGCGGGTGATAGGCAATGCCTTTGAAAACTATACATGCCAGTGCCTCATATACATCTGTACACGCTCGAGTAACATCGCCACTAAAAATATTATTGACAAATAGTCGGTAGCATCATTTTCACAAATAACTCTTGTCTGGGGTTTTTGTGGTGTTAGTTCGACTTCGTACTGTCGACGGACAACAAGGGATATATGTAATTATCCAAGCATCTTTTATAGTGAGGAAAGCGCCCTGAGTCGTCGGCCCTCACCGAAGCTTGTGGAACATTCATGATAAAATGTCTGTTTTTGTCGTGTAGAAATTAAATTTTAATCGGATTTCCCTCTATTCTGAATAAGGGGGCCCTTTTTAAATCGCTGTTTTACTGCTTTACCAAAAGCAATTAAGGTGACTTTTTGTTCTAGTAATGCCGGATGATTTGGATATTGCACCAGAAAATCGACGATACCAGTACTCGATAAGCGGCCCAGGGGCGGCTAACTTTTACGTCGTCAGCGCAAAAAGCGGTGCAGCTCAAATTCGAACAACGCGGTGAGTTAGTGTGGTGGTTTTCTCACACCTTTACGGCTGATTTGCCCACGAGCGTCGTATCTATGTAGAAAGTATTTTATTCCAGTCAATGCGCTCCTATTGGGTTCCTTCCATTCTCATTATGACCTGTCTCTTTTATTATTGGCACATTCTTACCTGAATTTTCTACCATTCTAGGCCCCTGCGTTACGACACGCTGCCTCAAGGCCGACCCTTCTATGAGTTCTCCCTGCGCGCTGCGAGCCCTGTGGGCGATGCGACCACCCTGGTTCGCGTACGCATTCAAAATGTCAATCGTAATGTACCGTTGCTGAATCCGATCCCGCCACTTATAGTCTTTCGAGACATTGCGCCCACCAGCGCCTTTGTGCAACTCAGCGCATCGGATGCTGACGGAAGTGGCATGCGGTTCTACTTTTTCGACAAGGGTGAGTAGGCAGCATGTCATTTTGATCGGTTCCTTGTTTCGTTCCGCTGTGATTTGAGGCCAAGCATCACTTTGTGTCTCATGCTGATCAGAATTGTCGTTTCTCTTGCAGCTACGAACAACCTCGTCAGCACACTACCGCCCTTTAGAGTGAACGACACAAGCGGCAACGTCTATGTAACTACAAGGCCAGAATTGAAGACCTACTTCTTGCAGGTTGTTGCCGAGGATGACGGCAGCTGTCCCGGCTGCCCCATATCAAACCAACATCTTCGTAGCGAGCCCATGACTTTAGAGGTCAAGGTGGTTGATCGCAATTCCCATGCGCCGACCTTCAGTGTTTGTCCACCCAGTATGAAAATCATGGAATTGGCACCGGCCGGAACAGTGCTAGGCCAGGTAATGGACAAACAGTCAATCTTCATTAAAGTATTCGTTAACCGTGCCTTGGGAAGCATTAAGTTGTTCCTAACGCTAAACAAATATACTTAAATAACTACTGTATGCATGTTAGTAGGTGTAGTTATGCTTATTTATTGTGCGGAATCTGTTAGGCACTTGGACTATCAACTTCAACGCTAAAGTCCTTTGGGAAATAATAATGTTTATGCGCAAAAATTTGAGGTCCAGATAGAATATTCCTTTCATCATCCCG